TCTGTAAAGTTGAAACTGTAGTCAGCCATTGGTAGTGGTTACATTTTTTTTTTTAAATACGATTAAGTATAATGCTAAAATTTGTTTTAGCACATATATATTGTTATATATCGTTAAAAAGCTAATAAAATTAACTGCAAATCTGTATATAAAGTTTAAAAACTTTGCTAACAAAATTAATTAAGAAAAATCTGTGAAGTTTACAATTTAATATCTAGTTATTAGCACTATGTTTTGGAAGTCCATAATTATATATTTGATCTGTTGCACTTTTTTATACAAACGTTTATTTTATTATACAAAATTAAAATATAACAATAGTGTTATATATTGTTAGAAAGCTAATAAAATTATCTACAAATCTGTATATAACGTTTAAAAACTTTTCAAACAAAATTATGAAAAAACTTGAAAAAATATCAGATACTAAAACACATTTTCAATATCTTTATGCATAATCTATATTTAAAACATTCAATAAATACATTTAATTAATATATTAATTACAAATACATAACCTCAATCAAGGTTTGAATAATGTACAATTCGGTAATACTAGGAATGTAAAACAAAAATATAATAGAACAATAATTCGATTTCAACAAAGATATTGTATTTTAATTTTAATTTATATTGATCACAAATTAATAACTCGTTACATTGTAATAATACTAAACAATCTATTTACAATTAAAAACACTCCTTTCGCAAACTTTAATTCTCCTTCTTGATGCGTGTGGATGTCATTCTGTAAATAATGGAGTCCCTGCCAGGGTCCATTGTGGAGATCGAGATACAGATAGCAAGTAACGAGAAGAAAAAGGCTACTCCGAACCATAAAATGATGTTAAAAACCACCGGGTAGGAGTCGTTGTATTCTTTAGCTAGGTTGAAATCGGGTTCTTTTGGAGCATCATCTGCTTGCCTTGTCTTACGTGTTAAGACGTCATTAGAGGTTAGTACGGTGAACAGCACTTTGCCTTTGTAGGTTTTATCGAAGGCTTCGCTCAAGGTTTTGATGGCTTTGGTGAGTTCAGTTTTGGCTTGTCGGTTTCTTCGGGGATTTGAAATTTGTTGCTAAGCGGAAGAAGAATAAGCTAGGACGTTCATCAGGGGTTAGTTCTAAGACTTTGTCAGATAAAGCGTTGAGGACACCCAGGTCTTTCACAAACTTCTCTGGTAAATCACTTTGTACCGGTTTGGGTGATACAACACCAAAGACACGCTCAGAATTGACGTTACCATTAGGTAATTCCAGGTTCACGAGAGTCAAATCATCAAAGGGGTAGCGTTCTTTGAAGCGTTTATCTAAAGAGTCCCATGTGTTATCCAATTCCTCATCCACAACCAAAGGATAGGTGTTCTTCGAATCCAAACTAAGTTTATCGGTGCCTTCTACAACTACAGTGACTACAGCTTTAGGTAATTTAAAAGGATTCAATTTACTCACTCCGTCCCATTCAGCAGAACTCTGCTCCGATGTCAATCCTAAGGCTACGGAATACAATTCCTTTAACAAAGATTGGGGTAAAGGAGTCTCGCCTTGGAATTGGACTCCATTTGGAGAATTTAATACACTCAGTTCGCCGTTGCAATATATGGATGCCACAAGGGGCAGTAAATAAATTAGAACCTTTTGCCACATTTTATTACTTACGGATAAAACGTACGAATGCGATTTTATCCTGTGATCAATAAAATTTTAGTCATATGATTATGTTTCATATGACTGCACTTGTCAATGACGTGACGACGGTACCAACTTGCGGAAATTGTGAAAACTGTCAAATAGATAAAGGGATAAAGGTTAAATGACTTAAAAATTAAAAGATATAGTGATTATTTATTTTGCAACACGGATAAAAGTACTATGAATTGCAAATTATTAATTATATATTTTACTTAATGAAGTTATATGTTGACAGTTGCAAAATTCAAAATGTCGTCTTGACAGTTTCAAATCCAACATGGACGCTTGACAGGTCCATTGGTCTAAGAATTGACACATTTTGGTTTAAATTTATGTTTATTTTATTTAAATTTAATTAAACATATTAACTATATTAAATATCATTCGAATGCAAATAATTTGTGAGTTATTAATTAAATATATTACATTCATTATATTTAAAATATTGACAGTTGCAATATCAAAATGGATACTTGACAGCACCAACTTTGCACAAATGTCACATATATTTATTTATTATTATTATTATAAAACACTTTATTTGCGTAATTTATATTAAAAACAAATTAATTTTAACGATTGATTTTAACACAATTAATTTAAACGATTGACGAGTAAAATTAGTTAATTAAAATATATGTTGACAGTTTTGAAAAATCAAAATGTCCTCTTGACAGTTCCGAATCCAACATGGACACTTGACAGCTCCAACTTTCAAATAATTCAAATTATAAATAAATGTTCGTGGTTTATATTTATGCTTATTTTGTTTAAATTTTATTATATATATTAATATTATTATATATCATTAGAAAGCTAATAAAATTGTCTACAAATCTGTATATAACGTTTAATATGTTTTAGAAGAGAATTAAATAGGAAAAATGTGCGGGATTTGAAATTTAGTTATCCATTGGTGGATTTTATCGGTTACATTTTTTTAAATTTACGCTTGTATTGCTAAAATTTAAAAAAAAATGAGAAAAATGTGTGAATTTTAAAATTTAGTTAAACATTGGTGGATTTTATTGCTTACATTTTTACAAATTTACGTTTATATTGCTAAAATTTGTTATACAACATACATATTATTTTACATCATTAGAATTCTAATAAAATTATCTACAATTATAAAGTTTTCAACAAAATTATTTAGAAAATATTTTTCAAACTTTGATTTCAAAATGAAGTGTCATTTTATATTATTAGTTTCGTCGGTTGCATTTTTTCATATATACGATTATTTTATTATAAATAATAAAAATATAACAATAGTATTATATATTATATATTATTGAAAAGCTAATAAATTTATGTACAAATCTTTATATAATGTTTAATAACTTGGCGAACGAAATTGAATACGAAAAATAACTAAACTTAAAAATTTAGTTACTGTTGGTGAATTTCTGTATTGCAATAAAATTAATCTTTATTCTTGTGTACAATAATATATTGTTAAAAAGTAGATAAAATTATCTATAAATCTGTATATAACAATTTGTTAGTGTTGGAACAAAATTATGCAAAAATAATTTGTAAAGCTTTGAAATTAAAATAATTGTGTCAAAACGCCCACATTGTTTCAGCTTCAACGCTTTTGCTTTAAATTTTGTTTATTATTTAATTAAATGTATTATAATTATTATATATCATTAGAAAGCTTACAAAATTATCGCTTATAGCTTAAAAAAATTTAAAATGTTGACAGTTGCAAAATCAAAATGTCTACTTGAAAGTTCCGAATACAACATGGACGCTTGACAGCGCCAATTTTAAAATAGTTCAAGTTATAAATAAAGGTTCGTGGTTTATATTTATATTTAATTTGTTTAAATATAAGTAAATATATTATAAGTATTATATATCGTTTGAAAGCTGATAAAATTTTCTACAAATCTGTAAATAACGTTTAAAAACTATGCGAACAAAATTTAATACGAAAAATATGTAAACTTAAAAATTTAGTTACTGTTGGTGAATTTCTGTGGTTACTTTTTTCCTATTTAGCATTGTAGTATCAAAATTCATCTCTATTGTCATCTATTATAATATATTGTTAAAAAGTAGATAAAATTACCTTTAAATCAGTATATAACTATTTGTTAGTGTTGGAACAAAATTATGCAAAAATAATTCGTTAAAGTTTGAAATTAACACCACTGTAAAGCGTCCATATTGTTCAAGTTTAAAATTTGTTGACAGTTGCAAAATACAAAATGTCTACTTGACAGTTCCAAATGCAACATGGCGGCTTGACAGCTCCAAATTTGAAATAATTCGGGTTATAAATAAATGTTCGAGGTTTATATTTATATTTATTTTGTTTAAATTTAATTAAATATAGTAACATTATTATATATCGTTAGAAAGCTAATTAAATTATCTACAAATTTGTATATAACACTTAAACTGTTAAAACAAAACTGTCTAGAAAAAAATGGTTAAACTTTGTAAATTTGTAAACTGAAACATTTATTTTTATACATTTTAGTATAAAATATGTACATAAAATACCACTTACACCTAGTTTACGTAAACTTCAACTAAAACACACAATTAAGTAGTTTCATAAAATGTATTTATACAAACTTACATCATATATACAATCAATACAATTAAACGTTATAAATCTATCAAATTAACTTCAGTACATTTGTCATTATCCGGCTTCTTATTATTAAAATCATAAACAATCTCCGAAGTGGATTGATAGATCGGATTAATCGTGACACTGTTATCAGAATCATCATCATCTGATAAATAAAATTTTGAGCCTTGTTTCGAACCCAGAGACTTCTTTCTCAAGGGGGCAATGGTCTGTCGTGGATCCTGCTATCGCTCTTGGTTCTGTGCAGCTCGTTGGCAAGTACTTGGGATCGTAGGAGTTTGGGGATTTACTACGTCTTGGGGGCTGGGGTAAGGCTAGGTTTGTGTCGAAGGGGTTGAAACGACCCACGGATTGAGCTCGTGATTGTACGTTGTTGTTTTTGTGGTTTTCTTGGCCGAAATTGAGGTTTTCAAAGAACTCCCAAGAGTTATCGAATGGTTTTGCTTCAGGTTTTTCTCTGGGGAGAATTTTATTAAAGCGTTGTCTTCGAATGTTACCCAAGAAGACTCTTGAGCAGGCAAGTGGCATTGGAAGCCTGTCTGTTGCATGAAATGATCCCCGCAGCCTTTATTTCTCGGTACCATGAACAAGGATCTTTTCCAGTACGCAAACTGATACGTTTCTGCAAACGAACAACTGGGTCCTCCAGTACTCGTACGAGGCTGTTTTGAGCACGTTAATCCACTCCAAACATGTTCTTCAGATCTGCCTGAAAAAAACATGTCTTCGATCCCAATCGTTTTGGAACACGATACAAAATGCAAAAGGCATTGCCGTTTGCATCTCTAATTGTATTTGGCATTGTTCCAGCACCAGGAGCCCTAAAGGTTGCTTCGTGTTGACTTTCCCAGTATCACTTATATCAAAATAATACAGGAGATTCGATTTTAATTTGAACCATCTTTCTTTGCAACCGTTTTGATTGAATTTGGGTCTGCTGTAATTCAGTCTTCCTTCGAGATCACATTTGGACTCGCTTAATTGAGCGATTTCTTTGTCGTTAAACTTCATAATTGCAACAATAACTATACACTACACACAACAAACTAATATCGGAGCCCTAAGTGTGTCTTTTATCATTTGTCACAAGTTTATGACACACATTAAACGAGTAAATTATCATTATTGTTGTGTTTGGTACGTCAATAATTATGTACGGACGTTTAAAATAAACAATGAAGCCGTAAATTAGCTTATTTTTGTGTAATTAAATCAACAAAAAATTAATTGGTTTTAACATAACCTTTAAAAGAACTGTCATTAAGACATTTCTAAATAAAATGGAGAGGATACTCGCTGAGTTGGAGCTGTCAAGCGTCCATGTTGGAAACTGTCAAATTATTGATTTTGCAACTGTCAAATTATAATTTTTTTTTAATATTTTTATTTATTTTAAATTATACATTATTTTCATATCTCAGTCAGACAGAGGTGCCCTGGTATGAGAGATTATAAAAACAGTTTTCATATAATATTTACATTTCATTTGACTAT